GTGGCTACCAGACGCTTCTTGTTTCAGCTCGAAACTTTATCGGCAGAATACCGTTGCCGACAATGACCAGGGAGGCTGGTTTGTCTCGAGAGAGAGAGAGAGAGAGAGCCCCAAGGCCCAACGTGAAGCCTGAGTTCCGTATCGCGATCAGTGGTCGTCCCCCTCTGACCAGTAGACCACCAGACGCGACACCTGATTTCCTGACACGAGAATCCATTTTGTTCGTCTAATCACGTTGCCAACAGTTGCCTTTGTGTGCGCTCAGTGTTCTTGAGCCCGCGACTTGATGTGAACTCGTAAATACCACCTGAAGTGGCGTGCATAGGCAAAAAATACCCCGATTTAGTCTAACCAAAATAGCCTATGTGAAGCTTAGATGCGATTCTTGCCCATTAACTCCTGCACCGCAGCCATGGCTGGGTCAAATTTAACGCATCACCATCTAGAGGGTAGTAGATGTTCGCAAACTTCTTCAGAGTCATCATTCCGTCGAATTTTCCCCTCTACGACGGCGCTATTTACCGGCGAGTTTCACATGAGACCCGTTTCTGGAATAAATGTCATTAGGGCTAGGGTGGAGAAAACCAGAACTGCGTAAGCAGTTGGACTTCGTGATCCATCGCTCACCGCCGATGAGGGAAATGACTCAACTCCTCCTGTTCCCTCGCATCCCATGCAGCCTCAATTAAGCCTGATGAAGTTTAACTGTAACTACAGCTTGCTCACCTGTGTAACCTCCCCTCCACCGCATTGTTCTCACCCGTGTGTCCTTTATGTACCCCATACCATTCACTCTTCTTAGGCCACTTTCTCATTGACCGGCTAATTTTAAAAAAGTGCCATAGCCGTTAGCAGTTGAACAGGTCATAAAAATTAAAACGCTACTAGATTCTGCATGCGCCGCCACCGTTGTTTTTTTTTCAACTTCATTCTGGGAAGACAGTGCTTCAGTCCACTGAACTGCTGGCTTCTTTTTTTTTCTGATGCAGCCCTGCCGAGCGGATCGATAATCGGACGGCAGTCACGGTGGGCGGAGTTTGTTTTTGCCCTATCCGCCTCAGGGCCACCGCTGCGCCTTCCGTCAAGATTTGGGCAGTGGTTTTCGGCGGTGGATTGAGTGAGTGTCTCCCCTTCGTTACGGGTGCGTCCTTGGTAGGTTGCCAACTGACAGGATAACTTGGTCTTATTGGGAGCATTTGGAGTGAGTGGTGGAGGCACGGGAGTCAGTTTGCGACGACCCACCCTACTTTTATTGACATAATCATCCACAGCTGAGGAGGAGCGACCGCTGTAGTGCGTATGCGGCATAAGCTTAGCTAGTAGACTACAGGACACTTGAGACACAGTCGCCCTAGACCGCTTTATGCCACGCGTGGCTCGCCAATGCAGGCTTCAAGGGCACAATCCCTCGATATCCAGCACCTACACATCCTACGCCTACAGCGGGTAGGCGTGGACATAGTCGGCGCGATTTGCCGTTGCCATTACGGGTGGGCTCGAACGTTCTCTCGCAAGACCCGCCAACCCACACAACCAAGACCTGCCTGCTATACCTGTAGAGTTATTATGATTCACACAGAAGCCAGCGCGCGCGCGCAATTACATAAGGCCATCGACAGAGATATATTTCTTTTGACTGAGGGGCACACGGGCTTACCGGCCACATACGTCATCTAGTACTCCGCGATCGGACGGCTTCCTCTATGGACACACCGGCCAAATTGTTTTGGCCCTGGGAAGGAACCATCGTGGTTGCAGACGTTAGTTCACGCACTAGTTGGGCTTTCCGCGACGCCCTAACATTGGCAGGCCCGACGATCATTGCGTACTTCGATAATTAAAAACGATACCTCAGTTATCTCCCCGAGGTATTATAGCGGAATTGCAGGAGGTTACATAAGGGGACGTTGCAGTACCCTAACCTTCGCCTTCGTTTCAAACTTGCATCGGAATATACCGCATACATTTACCGTATTTTAGTTTATTTCACTACAGATGTAATATTAAAAAGGATAAGTCTAGGCAACGTGGGACAAGAAAAGTTCCCAGGCGTCTTTCTGACACACGGCATTAAAGTCAAACCACAGACGATATTGTACTTAGTCAATGGGGGCCCAGACAGCACGACCACAGACAGGGCCTCCTTCGTGGAGTTTCCGTTTCAGTCGACTTCAGTAAGCCTCAATCGAATTGGTTTGTCGGCCCGTTATGGGGTCCTTGATGTGCTTGGAGTGGTTGACGGAGAAATGCGGATATCCTTCCGAGGGAAAACGATTATACGCCTTCCACTCTTCCGTTACCATTATGCTGCCCTTGGCGACTCATTTTGTAATGACGGAGCGCAGAACAGGCCAACTTGCTCAAATAAGGCTTTCTGTTGGCTAGTGTCGTACATACCGACAAGCCACCATTGCCTTTTTCTCTTGCCAACATTATAGGTCAGTATATTTTAAGAGTAATAGGCAATGCCTTTGAAAACCCTATTGTAAACGCTACATGCAATATATAACTTTAGATAAACATGGTACTGAAATGTTGTCAGTAATATACACATTTAACAAAATATTTTCCACGGGAATGTAGAACAAAAACTTGAGAACATCTAGTTGTAGATGATTTCAGTAAAATGTAATGACAGTCATCCGCATTAGCGGTATGAGTATGCAAGGCGTTGGTTTAGCGCCACAGAGCTGTTCTGTCCAGACAAGCGATAGTGTCCAAGCAAATATGCATCGAGTCTTTGCTTGAACGTCTCCGTGGTATCGGCCATTACTACGTCCTCGGGAAGCCCGTTCCAGGCAACGACGACTCGCTGTGAAAAACAGTATTTGCGAACGTCCAGGCGGCATCGGGATCCTCTA